TGCTTCTGATCACTGCTGAAGTCAGGATTTGAGGGTAAGTGGAGCATTTGTGAGCTCAAACAAGATTACATTTTCATGATGCTATCACAATAACAATAATAGTAGCAGTATTATTATTATTAAACAATCAAAAAGACTGCCTATTATTTATAAAAGGTTTTGATTTTTCATGGAACTGTATATCTAATGGAATTCAATAATGTCAAAAGTTGTTTTAACGAGCTTCACGCATCCTTTCGGTGGGTGCGAATTCCCGTGTTCCGGCTGGTGTGTGCTGAGCTGATTGGAAATGATGCAACTGATATAGCAAGCTGCATTTAGAAAGTTTTCATGTTCAAATATATCTTGTCCCTAGTTTAGATGATTGCTGGGGTAGCAACTGCATTATATATAGACATATATATGTATATATATAAAATTTTATGTATATGCATACATATGTATGTATGTGTGTATATGTATTTGTATAAAATATATATAAACAAAACCAACCTGGTAAATCTCACCATTTTTTTCTGAACATAGCTTTCAAGTATTAATTCTGTGAGCCACACTCACTTTTTATAACATGCAAAAAAATTAATACTCTTACAAAATGTTTTCCCCCCGCTTTTTGGAAGTTCCTTTTTTTCTGTTCAGTAATAATTTTATCGTAATTTCATGCCCCCACACTTCACGGTATGTTACTTGGTCTATAATGCTCACATTTAACTTGATAAAGTCCTGCTTCCTATGATACTATTTTTTGAGTTTTGATTCTTCACAGCTGCTGCTTTGAAGTCTTAGATAACATTCTGAGCACTGCACATTGCTCCTGGTTTTAAACTTTTCATTCAACTGCTCTACGTAGCTCTGTTTATCCCAAATAACTTTTCAGTAATTTCTTGTATTCTAATATTCTAAAATTAATGTTTTGCTTTTAATTAGGGCAAAACTGTGGACTCTTTTCTTAAAGAAGCTAGGAACTTCTGTCAAAATGTTTGATGATTTATCCTCATCTTCAATCCTTTCTTCAAAGGATTTGAGTCTGTTACTCAGTTCAGGAAGATTCTGAATCATTGTCTATTTCATACAAAGTGAAAAGAACTGATACACGACCTGTCTTCATGCCCTCTCCTTCAGCACCGTGTTCTTTTTTGACCCAGTCCTGTCCAGGACCAGGAAATGCAGCTGTCAATAACTTCCTTCAGATAATATGAAAATACACTGGAATAGTAAGTATGTGTGTTGTTGAATGGCTATTAGCTGGAAACAAGCAGATACAAAAACTCAGGTTTTGCCCTCGCTTACCCCCTTCAATACTTAAGAGTGATCTAAGAGGGTGCATGTGAATATGGACTGCAGGTCAACATCAAGTACAAACTTCCTTTACCCACCTTTAGATCTTTAGTTATTATTTGCAAAAAATTGTCTGAGATTTTTTAACTTTCTTAAATGGACAAAAAATGAGCAAGGACCTCATCTCACACATTGAACTGAGGTTGCTTTGAATCAAGGCAACAAGGATGTATGAATGGCGAGCTGAGGGCACCATGGCTGGAGCAGTACTGCAGATATTCCCACTGGTTTCTCTCCGCTGTGTATGCTTTTTATGTGAAGGGTGCTAATTTTTTCATCCCTTAGCCCCTTCTGTGCAGTGTCCAGGGATTCTTCCATGGATACAAACATGCAGTCCTCATGCAAGTTATTTACAACCATGTGAGAGCACAGATGCTGTATACTTAAAATATACACTTAGAATTTGACACCTGCTCAAATTATATGCACTGGGTCATAAAGAAATGACAAACTTTTGCCAGCATTACTCTTCCTTCAGAGTCACGATACAGGGAAGAATTCTAGTAATGAAATATCCTTATTATACGGAACTACTTACAGATATTAGCAGTGCCCTTAGGTATAGGCAGATAAGAACCAGCGCTCCACGGTCGGCCCTGGTAATTCTTCTTGCATTTTCCACAGTCTGGGCCGGTTGTGTTATGCTCACATTCACAAAGTAGTCGTTTGTTTTCTTCTTTACAGCCAGTAGCATGAAGGTTGCACTTACACCTATTTTTAAAAGGCAAAAATAAAAAAAAAAGTGGGATATTATTTAGAGATGAGTTTAAGTTCAGATTAAATCTTAGTAAAGCATGTCCCATGGCAATGGCTCTATTTCTGTGTGTTGTACCTGTATTATTGTTTTAGCACATTTTACAAGACAACACTCAAGTAGCATCTTGTAGTACCTTCAGCTCGCACAGGTCTAAAAGCAGTAACTTCACCAAGACTCCAAAACGCGAAATCTTTTCTTGTTTTCACTAATGCAGCTCCACTGAGATCAACTAAATGATTCATAATTTTCACTACAGACAGGTCTATAATCTTGCAAAAATTCAAGAGTTACTCAATACTCACAGGAACAAAAAAGCCCTCTGCTTATGTCCTTCGAGAGTCTGTCCCAAATTAAGACCCAAATTAGGCCCTGCGAGTCTGAGAAAACAGACTTCAATTAAATATCCTCTGCAATGCAACGCTTCAGTAGAAGGGAAGCTCAGTATAATGGTGTTTTGCTGTTCTTGTTTGGCAAGTACTGTCCTGCTCAGAAAGGAAAATTTTTTGCCTGCTTTAATTTTATATAGTTGTAGTTCTATACAACTGAAGGTTAGAGGAAATATCTTGGTAGGCGCATTTAGTTTTACTTAGGAAAGAATACCTAATCGAAACTTGTGACAAAATCATTAGATAAACCAGATTCTGCATCTGGTCTAACAATTGTATTTTCCTTAAATTCCGCTCTTCAAGAATGGGAAGCTAGTTTCATAAACAGTAAGGTATTGTCACCTCTTTCTGTCTCTTTCCAATAGATGTCAAAATTAGCTAAAATCTGTTTCTGTTTGGGGCTGGAGAGAAAACTAGTATTTAACGACCCTGTCTGTTTTCCTAATAATTGTGCATCAAGTGATTTAAAGGGTTCTCATGTGGGCATTTGTCACCTGTTCCATACAGTCACCAATAATTAGAGCAAAACAACACATGGAATGGCCAAGTGTAAATTAACAGCTGTCAAGCTGACTTCCATTTGGAAGGAGTATGACCTGAAGCAACTGGCCACATCCATATATATCCCCAGGGTAAAAAAAACTTGCAGTTGTCATAAGCGGTTGCTACAGAAAATCCACAAGAATCTGTAGTGCAGTAGATGGTGGAGCATCCTCCTCAATACTAGAAATGAGGCAGCTGAAACTGCTGTTATTTGAGCAATGCTCATTCTGAAGAAAAACAGGTTCAGCACCTTTTAAATTGAAATTACCAAAATGTATCGAATATGCTAGACAAAAGAAAGTGTGATTCATTTTTATATGATTTCCAAAATATTGATGCTTAAAGACTACATCAATTTAAAGTAAATTTTCAATGACTAGATACTGCAGAATGAAAGACGCCTGTCTGGATGTCAGTGGATGAGATATGCCTGTTCATGTAGAGATTGAAGATTTTGGCAAATGGCACTGCTATTAAGAAAAGTAATGGGCGGTTTTACTGTCCACAGGAATATGTAAATGGAAGACTCCCAAACAGGAGAGGTACACAGTAATGACAAGACCAAATGTTAGAGTCAGTCAGAGGAGAAAGAAGTAGGAGAGACTGTGGAGTCACTAGAATAAATGAGAGAGAGGAATCGACTGGATTTCTTTCAGGGGGAGATTTCTGTTTTGTTGGAGGGACTCATCAGTGTCAGAGGCAGCAAACTGGTCTAGACAGGAAGAAAAAGCCAGCTGATTGTGAGGAAAAGCTGTAGTTCCTAGGGCTCTGAAAGGGTGCTGCAGACTGGTAGGGGAACTGAGGTGGGGGAAAATAAATCTAGGTACATCTGCTAATTGGTGTCAATGTGCACAGCTCTTTTAATAAGCACCTGAAAGTAAAGAATGGTTGTGTAAGAAAACCTTGCGCAAAGTCTGTTTGCACTTCTTAGATGTTATACTTGTCATAAGTTCCCGAAGAGATAGACTGATTGTTCCTCAAGTTTGTTTGCATGGTTAAAAGCCTTGGGCAGACTCTGGCCTTCTCCATCCCCCTCTGCTTTTATCCAGTTCTGTCCCATGCCTCTTCATATATATACACAAAAGATATGCATATTTATATATGTATGGATGTATACATGCATACACAAACAAATCCCATAAATTCTCAAGCATACTGATTTCCTTTATTTCCCACATTCCCTAACTGCACTGTGATCCAGCTCTTCATAGGTTGCCTCCTCCTCTTCCTTATTTCCCAGGCAAGAGAGCATGGACAGCACAGAATAGCTCTGCTGCCTCTTCTGGTGCCCAGTGTTATAATCTCTTAGGGCAAGATTGCTGCAGAGGAAGGTCTTCTCAGCCCAGAGTTGTGGCATCGTGCCACGGTAGCTGTTCTGTGGTCCACACGGCAGGGCCCATGCAGTACAGCAGTGGCAGGGTTTCTGCAGAAGGCATCTTCTGTGTTTTAGCCACCAAGCTCTAACAGACGAAGGAAAACTACAGATTTTGGAGGTCTACATTTGTACCAAATATGAGCAGGTTTTCAGAAAAACAGGGAAATGCATTTTCTTGTGGAAGTAGTTGGGGGCCTTCTGTCAAATTTTAAAACCCTATTAACCCTATTAACTGCATTTTAAAGCGATCAGCCCTCACACAGACGTTCAGAACAAACACACACAAAACAGATAATGTAGGGACATCTTAGCCACTTAGCTTCCTAAATGGAGGAATTGCTAAATGGCTCTTCCTGCCCTAAACCAGTAGAATAATCACAGATTCATTAAATCAATGCCTCTCTGCAAATTAACTTATTTGGATGTTTTATGTGTGTTTTTGAAAGTCTTCCCAGCAGAATCCCCTAGAATGCTGCATCCTCCTTAAAAGAAAATTCCAAATAATACCATATTTAAGAGAAAGGAGAGCAAACTTTCTACTCCCCCCAATTAAAAAAAACAACCCCCACACACAAAAAAACCCCAAACCAGCTTGCCCCTCCCAACAGCAACAGGGAGAGAGGTGTAGCCTTCTAGGAGTATGATTGAAAGAGAATGAGAGAAAACAACAAAGTTGATCACTTCAAAAAATAAAGGACTGATCTAAAACCTTTGTGGGCAGAGAATAGATAATCAAAACCTAACACTAGCAACTGAGCAAAAAAAGAGCTGACAATGCTTGAATAATCCTAAAAAAACTCAGAATAATTCAAACAGCCATGTACAATTTCCAAGGAGAAAAAAGTAAGGAACAAATGTGGTCACTGTGGTTTTCTACAAGACTAGCTAAAGATCAAAGATTAAGATAAAAAAAATACATTTATATTAAAAATGTCAAATGTAGAGTTAATGAGAGCTAGTTAAAGTGGGCACAAAAAGAAATGTTTTCAAACACCCCCAAAACCACAAAAGGTCAGACAGTGCGTGGCAAAAAAGCATTACCTTTGCGACCTTAGTGTATAAGCAACATAAAAATTTGACTTAGTTTATGATTATCAGTGTTATACAAGTACCAAAAAAATCTGAAGAGATTAAACTGGAGTTCTTGTTGGTGGCAGTAACTATACATAGGGAGGAAAAGAGCAGAAGCGTAAGCAGAAAAAAGACATTCAGAGGATTGAACCACGGAGGCTCTGATTCTCCTCTCACTTGCACCAAATTTTTGATAAGGTCACTTCACAGATCTCTGAGAGATTAATCATGATTTCCACACCAAATCAAGGATGTAGCTGAACACTGAATGAGTGTAAAATGCAGACAGTGCTAAAACAAGCAAACTGGAAAGCAAACTGAACAGTTTGGAGGGTACCGTATCTGGGGAAAAAGAAGCCAATACTAAATTCTGTGCTGTATGTGGAGAGACATTTTTACTGAAACAGGGAAATAATATTTTGTATACTTCTGTTTTTTTAGGAAAGCTGCACTAGGAATTGGGCAGCCTGTCCCAGGGACCTCATCAGAGTGTATGTATGGACAATCTCAGAGACTTCTGCAAAGAAGATAAATGCCTGTTGTGCTTGAGGGACAGACTTCTCTGGATGAATGAGAGAGGTAAATGTGCGTAGCGGGGCTGAGAGATGACTAGAGTACAATAAAAAGCTACTTCTATTTTCCGGGATAAGCAGTAAGGAAAATTGCAATATTTAAGGTTACAGAAAGAAGGCTATTTAGGTAAAAGTACCATCCGGATGGACCACGAGAGAATCACCCTTGTGAAGAGAGATACTGGATTGTAAGCAGCGTGAATGAAAACAAACAGCAGATCCTGGACCACAGGCATTTCAGGTAACTGTGGATCAGCTGAGCACCACTGATCTGGTAAGCTGACTCGGGCTCCTATCAGATCACTGTCAGGATGTGGGTATCAGCTTCCTATGGAAGACTGCCCCAGTTCAGAGTCCTTCATCTGTCTCACCTCTTTTTTAAGGAAGATTGCCTTTCTTTTCTCCTCCAGAGGTAAGGAAGTATTTTGTTACCTTATGTGACTATTCACGACAATAAATTATTACTGAAAAATCCTAGGTACCATTTGTAATTTCTTTCAACACTTGCTTTGAGAGGTTGTTCCTAGCTGTTACTGCTTTAAATCTGAGACAGTAACAAAAGGCTTAGTTAGATTCACATACAAAGCACATTAAACACAAAATTTCATATAGCTCTTGTAGATGCTTCCATTAGAAGAATGCGGTCACTTTGGCTGCATGTATAAGAATGGAGAAGTTCTGAAAACCTAAAAACCTGCTTCCACATCCTATCTACTGAGTTCCAGATGACAGTATTTCACGCCTATATAGTTTCTTAAAGTCCAAAGAAAAAAGTCAAAGTGCTTTACGCGGCATTACATACACATGCCCAGAAATGCAATTACTGGGTAGCAGTGGGTGAGCTTGGCACGTCAAGCGGGTTTGCATGTGTACTGGGAAGGGATGATTGAGGGAGCTGTAGTAAGTGGAGCAGGTTTGAGAATACAGGTTAAGATATGGCAAATGTAAGAGGATGTATGCTGCAGCCTTTGCACTGCACGGGCAAACAGCCTAAGGGCAAAATCCCA